CCGGCCGATGAAGCTCTCGTCCCACCTGCAGAGGCCGCAGGAGAACGTCGCGCCGTTCCTGGATCTGTGCGGCGGAGATGCCGCTAGCGGCAGGGGCAGAGATCTGAGGGCTCGCAGCGCGAAATACTCGCACAGGAAGGCCAGATCCATGTCGCCGCTGCGCGGCAAGGCGGAGTACGAGTGGCAGGGGCTGAGATCCGCCGTCGCCGCCGTGGAGGAAGAGATAAGTCAGGCGAAGGAGAACGAGTCGAGCGAGACGACGCCGTCATGCTCGGCGTCGTCCTCCCGGTCGTCGTCGTCGGGTAGGAACTCGAGGAAGTGGATTTTCCTTAAGGATCTGCTGCACAGGAGCAAAAGCGAGGGGAGAGCGAACAGCAACAGGGAGAGGTTCTGGTCGGCGATCTCGTTTTCTCCGGCGAAGGAGAGGAAGAAGTCCTCGCTGTCTTCTTCGCCGTCGCCGTCGCCGGGGCTATCTCCATCGTCGTCTCGCGACGAAAAAAAAGGCGGTGGCGAGGCGAAGAAAGCGCGGGAAGCTCCTGCGGTGGCCGGGAAGCCGGCGAAGGGCGTCTGGAGACGGCGGGTGCCGCCGTCGGCACACGAGCTGCACTACACCGCGAACAGGGCACAAGCAGAGGAGATGAAGAAGAAGACATTTCTGCCCTACAGGCAAGGGCTGTTGGGCTGCCTAGGGTTCAGTTCCAAAAGCTATGGCGCTTTCAGTGGGTTCACTAGGAATCTGAACCCTATCTCTTCCAGGTGAAATATGGAAAAAATAAATAAAACCGCCATTAATATATCCAGCTTTTGTTGTATAGTTTATGTATGGGCTGTAGCCTATATATTTTACTATTTATTAATTATTATCTATCTTTTGTTGAAAAAGCTTATGCAAACTTAATTTGGTTCCGTGATCGGAATTTCAGATTTATTTGTTATATTCTGGACTGTACGTGTAAGAACACAACATATTCAACTTCTTTGTTGATGCACATTACAGTATTTGTTTTCTCTAGTCAAGTTATGCGTGAACAATAATCATTTAGTGTTAAATTCAAAGAAAAACTTGTAAAAATGCGTGATAATATAATATCTACTAGTAAGTTTCTCATCTGAATTAGTAAGTTTGGTTTGGCATATAGTGATCTCTTTAAAACAAGGCGCTTGAGCTTTGTTTATGTAGCTTTTTTATGAAGGCTTGTTTTTAAAATTTCAGTTGATTTATCGATTTATTTTTTAATCACTTTATATTATATTTAGCTTTTAGTCACCAGTTATAAACTCAAAATTAATTCATGAGCTACTAATTAATTCATCAGCTAATTTTATTAAGCAAGTTAGCTATAAACTCAAAATTAATTTACGAGCTACTAGCTAGCTCATAAAGTTAAGTTCAAAATAATTAGTTTATTGAGCTGCTGGCTAACTCGTAAAGCCACTTATCAATTAATTTTATTAAGCACTTATATTATATTTAGCTTTTAGTCATTAGCTAAAAGATAAAAATTAATTTATGCACTACCAGTGAAATCGTAAAGCCCGTTGAAAATTTTAAATGATTTATTATCTAATTTTATTAAACATTTTTATTATATTAGTTTTTACTATAAGTTCAAAATTAGTGCATGAGATGGCTATTATAGGCTTATGCGTACTTGTCAGATGTTTTAATTATATCAAAATAATGAAATATACTAAGGTACGTAATATAATCAAGTTGTATTTGTTTGAGTTTGTGTTGTCGACTCTAGACTACATGCGAGTACACCCCCTTTTAAATTTAGCTTAATAGATGATTAATTCAGTTGTTTTAGTCTATTAAATGCTCGTATTTATTATTAGAAATTCTATTATTTTTTAAAAAAAATAATAAAATAAATTAAATATCTTCAGTTTCATGAGAATTGACTGGGTGGATGAATGTTGCATTGTAACCAAAACGTTAACAATGATGCTTGAAATCGTGATTGTAATTAAAAACTATATTTATACATAAGATATTATATTTTTTAAATTTAGAAAAATATATTTGAGTATGTTTTATTTGAATATGTTCATTTATTGAAAAAGCATGAGTATTAAATTGAGCCATACAAAATAGTAAGTACCTAATTTTTTTATTTCTTTAGTTCTTCACGTATTTATTTTTTTCTCTCTTATTTATTTTTATTGGATGCCATCAGCCGGACACTTGGGCCTTGGGGTGCATTTGTACAAAACATGTATTAATGGTTAAGTTCTAAAATCCAAAATCCCACATGGTGCTCCTGAAAATTAAACTTTTTTTCAGTTAGGTTTTCGTGTGTGTTTGTGGAGACCCATTGTCTGCTATCATGGACAATATCACATGGCCAAATTTTCAGATTGGAATCTTTTAAATCTAGCTCACGTTTGTGCCATTAATATAATAACAAGCCATGGCAAGTGATGTTCTTTTTGGATGTTCTCTCTTTAACTTTATCTTCCTTTGATAAAAATCCAATGGGTTTTAATGTCATTGTTAATTGTTATCATGTGAAACTGTTTTACTTCCAATATTATGCTTTCATTGGAAAGTTAACAATCATACAGAATCTATTGGTCTAAAATTTGCTTTTTGGGACTTTTGAGTTTGTGATATGGTGCCCATTTCCAATCATCTATGCTCAACAAAGATGTTTATTTTTGTCCAACATCATAATTGAAGCACAGAGGTTTGGAACACATTGCTTCTCAATCATAATCCATTACAAATGTTTTATCTTGTATACCCTTTCCTCGTTATTGTTCTAAGTAAGATTAACTACAATTTTTTTTTTTTACCAAATACAAGAACAAAAAATCGTGTGTCCGGTAGACTAATGGTTAGGTGGATCTATCTATTGTATATATTTTTTAAATGTGTACTTGTATTATGAAATGTTATAATTTTATTTATATTGTTATTTAGTGTTTGCTGCTTCAGTTTGTAAATACACACACACACACACATATATATATTAAAAGGGTATATTTCATAATTGTTATTTTTCTTACAACAACGTAATAGCAACATAGCTAATTGAAACAAGAAATTTGTGTTGTGAGAAAAGGAAAACAATTATCGTGTAATAGATCCTAATTACTCGACTTTTAGATTTAATCTAATTCTCTTCAAGTTTTAGGGGAACTTGGAAGCACATCAAGTCTTCTGCATTCCAAAGAGTTACAATTAAGAATATATTTCTTCAGTGTCACTTTATGACTAGTGAGTAGTGACCTGGATAATTTCAAGAATGATAAAAAATTAAAAATTCTAACTGATTTATAGTAATACTAGCCTTTTATTTTATAGTTTACATAAATGAAGATAAAAAATAGATATAAAGGAATAGAGTTCCAGTATGATCTTATATTCCAATTCTATGTTTCAGTATTATACTAGTACAGAGCCCGTGCCATGCACGGGGTGAACAATTTTAAGGCTATTTATTCAGGCTTATAATTATATACATGAATAAAAAAAAATGTACGGGATATATATAGTACGTGACCCGTGCGAAGCACGAGATATATAAGGAGAATATTATATTATAAGATGCAATATTCAATAAAAGTTTATAATACGCAAGAAAATTGTACAATGTTCAATAAAAGTTTTATAATATTCAAGTAGAGTCTTAAAGTCTCTTGTACATTAAAACTATTGACAAAATAATATTTTAATCAATGAGTTCTTTTCCTTGTAGCCAAATTGTGAATGTGATTTGAGGAGTACAACAAATCGATATGTAGCTGACTTGCTTTTTTCATTGTAGTTTTTTTTTCTTTTTTTTTTTATAATGAATTTAAAGATATTCTAAAATATAGCAAAAATTAATTTATTTTATTACAATTAGGAATTTTACTAAATATAAACTCTCAATCTATAGTGTTAATCAACACTTAAGTCTAAAAAATTAGGAATTTTTACCTCTTTCAATGAACGTTTAAGTCTAAAAAACAATAGAGTTATTATAAGTTTTTTTCTACATCTTTTAAAACATTAAATATGAGCATGTTAGGGCTAGCTTGTAAAATAATTAATATATTATCTCACTAAAATATTTATACTAATAAAAATTTAATTTTAGCATATAAATTTATCCCTGGATATAAGAGAAAGTAACAGTTTTACTTATTGTTGTTCACCATATAATATTTAATTATTATTTTATTATATAATAAAAAAAATATTGTTAAATAGTGTAGTAGAATTGTTATAAAATTATATGATTTTTTTTACAATATGGATTTAATATTTTTTTATGATTTGATAATATAAACAAATCTATACTTAACTTTGACAAATAAAACAAATAAATACTTTTGTAAGTATTTAATGTATATACTAAATAGGAATATATTTGGTATAATCAAATACCAAATATAATCAAATAAGTCAAAGAGTACATTTTTATTTGGTATTTGATTTTTTTATTATTAAAATCATTTTATTATACTTACATTTTTAAAATAAAATAAATAAATAAATCAATTAAATAAATAAAATATTATAATACCAAAATATAATGACATTTAATACAGTTGACATTTCTGGATAGTAAATATAGTAAATAGAATCTCCTTTTTATATAAGTATAGATTTTATAATACGAAAATAGTAATCCAATAAATGTTGTTGACTTTTCTTTATACTAAATCTGGTAAATGGTATACCTTTTAATATAAGTATAGATTCCATTGGATTAGTTGAGGTAAATAAAAATATAAAATAGAGAATAATGTGATAGAGTTCCCAAGGATAAGATCTTCTATTCCAATTTCATATTTCATTACGTATTTTATTAAATTTTATAAATAACAAGGGTTCAAATATGACATTATCATATACATACTGTTGTTTTTCCAACGAAATTGAACATGAAATGAAACAACAAAGTGAAATACAAAATTTCATTCCTTGCTACAAACATGATGCTAAAAGAACGATACAGACATTGCCATGTTAAAGTCCATAAAAAAGCTATATATATATATATATATATATATATATATATAATAAGAAATAAGAACAATCCAAATTTCAAATATAGAGTATAATATAAATGAACAATGTCTAATCCTAAAAGATTCGCTGGTCCCTCATGGTCTAATAGCGTACAAATGACTTGTAATCACACTCTACCCAAATTTGCCAACACATACTTTGCTTAGCAAAGTCATTCATGACATGAACTTTTCGAACACGTCACATAGCACTGCTTGTTTACCAAAGCTACCTTCCTCTTTCTGACTAGAGAAAAATTGGCTTTGCCTTTTTGTTTTAAGGCCATTCATTTTCCACACCTTTTCACATTTGTTTTCAGGCTAGCCAGATAAATCCACGTCGCAGGCTAAAATAAAGTTACAGGCCAGGCCCAATAGTGATATTTCGGCTAACACAACTCAGACCAAACTCATGAAAAGAATCGAATCACAATTCACAATTCACAATTCACTTGCCAGTTTAACCATAATCTCCTAGCCTAGAACGCTAAAACCAGACAGTTCAACCAAAATCCCACTTGTGTATAGTATTAGCCATCTTTTATTATTTAATTGATACTATACGAAGCACGAAATGAAACCTCATTAGCTACCTGATTAATCAACGGCCTGCGGTGAATCTTCTATGTGCATTATACCGGCATATAATGCCTCCAAATCCTCCTGGACAATCTTTTTCATCTGAAGTTGGCTACCTAGCTCGGACAAATGATTCATAATCTGCATGCCCAAATTGTGTCTAGCTTCATTATCCGAGATTGTTTTGGGTTCTGCTGATTTGCTTTTGACAATATGAGCCGACCAGCGGCTGAGATCAATTACTGTACTGTTCAGCCTATCAAATCGAAATAGATAGAACGGTTAACAAGGCTAGTAATATAATCTTGTTGCAACGTAAAAGTGCATCGGAAATTAAAGTAGGATACTCTCAGTCTCATATTCTAATATAAAATAAACGTGAAGGTAGGACTTCAGTGAATCTTCAAAGTACACATGACACATAATTCAATCGAGGAAAGAGCAAAAATATACACACTCAAGATATTCACAATAAAAAGAAGGGTGCCAAGAATAAACACTCAAGCGTTCTGACAGGGAGTTATTGTGTACTAACATTCATTTGACTAATTTTACACTGAGTTCCGTAATATTCCTTTGTTTTTGTTTTTCTCTTTTAAATCCGTGCTAAAGCTGAGAAGACTTACATTTGAAGTATTGAATGCTGGATAGAGTCATTCCGCACATTAAAGAACGCATCTACAGCACCATCACTTGCTCTTGCTAATCCCATGAATTCACTCATAACCTTGCATCTGGAGTGAATAACATAATCAGTGGTCTTTATATTTATTTTCTCGATTCTGAAGGTAACTATCTGTACATCACCAAGAGGATGATGAACTGGAAATTCTCGACTACCCACTCCAATTTTACCAGCTGAGATAGCCTTCCTGCTGGACTCCTCATCCTGTAAACAAAATGATAAACCCACGAGAAAATAAAAGTTACTACTCTAAAGAAAATCCATAACAATACTTTGGAAAATCCATAAAAATACTTGCAAGAAAAGACTAAACATCAATATTTACCTCAAATTCTATGTTACAACTCCGGTTTCCATCGGATGCGACTGTAAATGAAGCGCCCGAGACCTTCCCAAAAACTGAAATAGCCTCAACTAGTTCAGAGAGACCAACACTTGGGACTATATTCTTAACTAGCACAGAGCAAGGACTTTCAACATCAGTGACTTTTACAGTGTTGTTAGTTGACATGGAAGAATGACTGTGATCACCAACTTCTGAATTCGAACGTGAAAAATTACGTCCCATGGATGCAACAATTTCCTTTGCACTTGATCTCACATGTGAAGGAATGGGTCTACCATCTGGTTTTCTTTTCTGTTTATAGGTTTTCTACAGAGCAATACGCAAAGCAAAACTCAAATGGTAGACAATTAGGTAAACGGTTAAAAACTAAAAAATATTGTTACTGCTCAAGGGCAAGTAGTACTAGGATATCTTATAAAATAACAAAAACCAATTGAAATTAGTTATCTTTGACAAAGTACACTCTCAAGGGCAAGTAGCAGTAGGATACCCATAATTTTTGGAAGGAAAAGAAAAAAGGAAGAAGTCCAAGTCCAAAAATTTTCTTGCACTAAACTTCCATAATATACTATACTAAACACGATAGGTTAATGGCGTCTGTGAAGCTTACAGTAACACAGTCCTTTTTCACAGTGAACAATTGTATTCGATTAGCACAATGTTCTGAAACTTCTGGACCCAATTCCGAGAAATCATCGTCCAAAATGGCAGAAGAGTGAACATACCTATTTGAGCTCTCAATGCCCTGTGCCTGGAAGCTGGAAAATGCAGAGATGTAAGTGTGAATGCAATAGTAAATATCCATCATATTACTATCTTATATTCGTTCAATCCTTAGCTCAAGGCGCCCTCAAAAGGGTATAATCAGATACAAGATACACATTTTACCACTTATTTATAATCGAGACATTGATGTCACTTCACATTGGGGAAATTTATAAAGACCAAATGTGGCATTTTCGCTATAAGCAAGAGAGAATGTGGCATCTCTGCAAATTTCCTTTTCACATACACCGATGATACAGACATCAATTTTCAGCAACTTAGTTAAAAAAAGAAAATCATAAATAACTCGAAAAAACCTCAAACAGAGAGTAAGCATTCACGTTAGTGCCTATCTCAAAACACATCACCAACTCATTTCACAGCTTTACCAGCAGTTAATTTGGCGAAGGCTGTGGTCAAGAGAGATTCCTGTCGGTCTTGATGCAATTTTCAGGCTCGTGATTCTCCTACATGTACCTGGTAACAGCAAGAATTTGAGCGTTACAAGAACTGAGTTATATTATTCAAAACACACGCGAGCGCGCACAGATATGTTAGGGTTTTTAACGGCAAGTTCGAGTACGACCAGCAGAATACCAAAAGAAGGAAGCTGCGAGCCTCGAGTTCATCTTTGCCGGAGATGGAGTCCCGCCGTAAGCCGCGGCGAGCGAGTAGACACACAGCCACCGGTAGATTGTTTGGGAAGAGTTGAGCTACAGATAAATGAACAGTGGCCAGACATTTGTGCTGGGCTTTGCTTTCTAGCGGTGAAGTATATGGGCCTAATACTGGTCATTGGACTTCAGTTCGGGTACTTGGGCTCCTACTAATTGGGTTACTTTAAATTGCATAACAAGAATTTATGCTAAACTGGGCCCACACAGGTGACTGTGGGGCAAATGAAAATTGTTGTTACGTGGCGAGTTCTTATTGGCTCCCAGGTGATGGAGTTTTCTCTGATTGGTCGGTTCCCCCAAATCCGACGTTGCGAGCTCAAGTCAATTTGCTGATTTCTCATCACCTTTTTGCCTTAAAATATGAAAAATACGTATAATCAGCCGTGGATTAGCAATCCCTAATCTTCGAGTCGTATATATGCTTTCATACGAATTCGTACATTTTTATGTAAAACCGTATTTCTTTATTTTTTTTTATTTTTTATTTTTTTTTCTGTGGAGGATTTGGCCAACCCGCTGATGTTGTCGGGTTGAAGATCAGATCGAAAACCCTAGCATTGATCGTGATTTTAATTTTACTTTCTGTGCCTGGCTCTGGTTATGGCGCATCGGAGATCAAAGTTACTGTTGTTTTTCTGCTTCGCGTCGTACTATCTGATCGCCATTGCAGCGTGTGTACTGAGGATTTATTTTTTTGATTTAGCTGTCAATTAATCGAAGTGTAATCATTGTGGAAGCATCAATTTTTGATTTCTTTTGTCTGTCCATGGAGTTTTAACTGGTTTTTGCATTTGTACAGGAGGAGTTATTATGATATTCTGCAAGTGCCCAAAGGCGCCTCCGATGAGCAGATAAAGCGTGCGTACCGTAAGCTTGCTTTGAAGTATCATCCGGACAAAAATCCAGGAAATGAAGAGGCGAATAAGAAATTTGCAGAGATTAATAATGGTATCCCATTTTTGTGTCCATTTTCAATTTATCATGTTCCCATTTTCAGATTAATAATGTTGTTGCTGATGTATTGGGTGGTTCTGAGTTCTGACTGCGTTGTATCTTTGTATGGTTCTATCTTTTCAGCTTATGAAGTTTTGTCGGATGGCGAAAAGAGAGGCATATATGATAGATATGGTGAAGAAGGTCTTAAGCAGCATGCAGCTGGTGGAGGCAGAGGTGGAGGAGGAATGAATATTCAAGATATTTTTAGCTCGTAAGTTCCTTTATATATTCGAATTATTCTTCTCTGTTCGAAGTTGGTTTGATTTTTGTATCTAATGTATGTCATTGATAACTAGTCATTTATTAATTCTTTGAAATGGGAAAGATGGCAACTATATCATTGGCAATCACGGGTGTAGAAGCTTGTGATGCTTGTTACAGCTATGAAGNTTGAAGTTTTGTAATATGTATTTTTCCAATTCACTTTATGAATTTAGCAAGTTGAGTTGTGATGCAAAGAAATTGGCAATTTGTTCTTTGCTTTAATTATTGAATCGGTGCATGCACTAATCACTATCATCATTGAATATTGACCGATCACCAAAACGGTCTCATTTGATCAGAAGCCTGAAAAATGCATCATTTGTCTGCTTATGCTACTTTTGAGCCTCTTTGTGGCTGCATAAGGGCTGATGGTTCTGCTTTTTTACTTAACATTAGATTATCATGTGCAAATCACGCTATAATGGGTTTTCTGTTAGTATGATAATATCAGTATATCAAGCAAGCGATCGATTTTTAAAATTCTGCTAGATTCACCTTCTTTTATTTCTTTATTAAATGTCCGGGAAGTTCGGGAGTATTTTTGTTGATTGTGAGATTGATGCTCTGTCCATCATTGTCTATGCTGTGTGCTAATAAACAAAAATGTTTCCAGATTTTTTGGTGGAGGTTCTATGGAAGAGGAAGAGAAGGTTGTGAAAGGCGATGATGTGATTGTTGACTTGGATGCCACGCTTGAAGATCTATATCTGGGGGGAACTCTAAAGGTAGTGAATTTAGTTATTGAAGACGAAATTTATGTTTGTCAGAATGAAATCCTGGAATGGGAAGAGAAAAATGTATGGCCATTAATTTAATAATATGAAAAATATTGAGACCAAAAATTAACTGCTGATGTTATGCTGGAAGGTTTTGAAGTTGGCGGTATTCTATGGACTTCAACTTTTTGTGTGAGAACCTTAACATGATCGTATGAAAAAAATTGTGTGAGAACCTGAACATGATAGTATGAAACAATTACTGGCCATATAGCATGTTGAATTCTATCCGAGCCAATTTATATTCATACCAGTTGTTTGTTTATGAAATTCATCAGGTTTGGAGAGTGAAAAATGTAATAAAACCAGCTCCAGGTAAGAGGCGCTGCAATTGTAGAAATGAGGTTTATCACAGGCAAATTGGTCCTGGAATGTTTCAGCAGATGACAGAGCAGGTATTTTTTCCCTAGTTACAAACTGCGACATCTTTTTTGTGGCAGCATTTCATCTTGCCTCATTTTTTTGTGCTATTGCATCTATTAAAAATTCATGTAATGTTGGCCTTTCCAGGTTTGTGATCAGTGCTCTAATGTTAAGTATGAAAGGGAGGGTGATTTTGTCACCGTGGATATTGAGAAAGGAATGCAGGATGGACAAGTAAGCATCTCTTATTTTTCCTTAATCTTTTTTGGTGAACTATCCAGGAATATGTTATAATAGTTATTCTAAGAGCGACCCCAACACTTTTTCTTGAAGTAAATGGAGGCGAATTTCCATTTTCAAAGTTGAGCAGTTCCTAATAATGCCTCGAAAGGATTTTTGTTTTGGGTTCTCAAGAGAATTTCTTTTCCCTCCTCCCTTTTTTTTTTCAAACCAATACGTTCTTACCTGTCCATTCTACAGGAAGTGGTATTTTATGAAGAAGGTGAGCCAATACTTGATGGTGACCCTGGAGATCTAAAGGTTTGACTAATTCCTTGCATTTTGTTATGGCAATGAATCTGTTCGATGTAATATCTTATTTATTCAGCATTTCATGTTTGATTGGTTATTTATTTATTTGTAGTTCCGCATACGTACTGCACCTCATGACCGCTTCAGAAGAGAAGGCAATGATTTGCATACAACAGTCACTATTACTCTGGTAATATTTTTCAGCACAAAATACTCTCTCTCTCTCTCTCTCTCTCTCTCTCTCTCTCTCTCTGTATGCTAATTTCTTAGCTTATTACCAGATAAATATAGCTTTAATACTGCCAAACTTCATTCTTTAGTCTAAATCCATTTAAGTTGTCAAAGCTCCCTCGTATTTTTCAGGTCCAAGCTCTTGTTGGCTTCGAAAAGACCATTAAACACCTTGATGACCATTTGGTGGATGTTAGCTCCAAGGTTAGTGGCAAACTCATTTACTGCAATCCACATAAACTGCTAAGTTGCATAACATTATATCTAATCTCCAGTTTTCTTAGCAAATGAAGTTCAATTAAATTTGTTATTCACTCACCCCTTCATTCTCGGTCAGGGTATCACTAACCCAAAGGAAGTGAGGAAATTTAAAGGCGAAGGTATGCCATTGCATTATAACAATAAGAAAGGAGATTTGTACGTCACGTTTGAGGTTCTATTCCCAACTTCATTAACAGAAGACCAGAAGACAAAGATCAAGGAAACACTAGGTTAGGTATACAAGAAAGCGCTTAGCTACTAAATTCTTCTCTTTTGTATGCTTTTTAATTTTCCTTTTTTTTTTCACATAGTAGATCAGTATGAAGGAGATGTATCGGTACTCGGGATATCCTGAGATATCGGCATTCAGTTCTCGTCACTTTAGCTTGATTTTTTATTCAAGGGGTCATATTTGCCCCTTGATACAGTATCTAACATGCTAGTTGATGTAGGAATTATTGTTTTAGAATTTCTACTATTCAAACGGTTTAAACTTTCGTCCGCCACCAAAAACGACAATTTTTAAGGGCATAAAAACAAGCCCAATTTTGCAGTTCTTGTAAATAATCACATCGATCCTCTATTCCTCTTAGCTAATTATAAGTTGGTCAACCAGAAGCTTTCTGGAAGTGGAACATAAATATAGGTTAAAGCTTGTCTTGTTAAAAGAAATTGTTTAAATGCTTCGATTGGTAAGATTTCAAAAATATATCTATGATACAAGTAGATCGACTTTCATGTCCAAACATACATCACAACATATTCAAAAACAGTGGGTCCAAAGAACAATTGTTTTTATTTAAAGACAAGACGCTAACCAAAAACCAACATGAAAATCTGGTACCATTAATACCTATAAATATTAAATACTCATGACCTGATACACCGGCCCAAAAAAAAATAAAAAAAAAAATAAAAAAAAAATACCTAAGTTCTTCGTTCAATGAAACTACTGGCAAATCTCATTCAACTGTTAAAACTTTCTCCTCGTCAGTGTCAAAAGCCTTCCTTGCTTGCTTAAGTTCTTCATTCATCGACAATAATTCCGTGCAGCGGTTTAGTTTCGGCAAATCCTACAAAATTAACTATGTACGCTTATCAATATCTAGTGTAGACTACCCACACATTGAGATCCATCTTAATAGGATTATTATTATTATTATTATTATTATTATTATTATTATTATTATTATTATTATGTTTCGAGCACAAGCAATGTACCTTGCGAATCAGGAAAAGGAAATCCTCTGTCAAAAGCTTTCCTCGTTTAGATGCCACATCTTGAGCTTTGTGATTGTGAACCTGTTAAAGTCTCTATCAACTTTCCCGTTTTTAATACAATAAGACAAACACTGATGACATATAACTAAACTCAGGTCTCGAAACATGGATAAAATTATGTAAAATTAACAAAATCCAATCCAATGCAAAAAGAATGCAAAAAGATTACGTCTCTACTTGTGTCTAAAATATACTTAAGGGTATACTGAGTCTCTTTTTCTGGCTGTCACATACGCAGGATCCAGTCTACTTTTATTTGCGTTGGAGAATATATTTTTTTAGACTGAGTCTATTTATTAGGTGGCATCTAACTTTTTGAGATTGAACCTAAAGCATTGTGAATGCTCTGAGGGGCCAGTGTTACTTTTTTCAAGGCTTGCAAATAGTTGTTTTGAACAAGTTCAACTTTCAACCTAATAATTTTTTGCTCGTATCAAGTTAGGGTAAAACATTGGTTCCAACCTTTACTATACTTACTTTTGGATTTTGCAATCTACAATATTTTTCTTTCATGGTAAAATACAATTTGAACTTCATGAACATTTATAATTTGCGCACTCGCCTACTTCTTGACCATACGATCATCCGCAAAAATGGACACATGTATGGTCAAGATGTAGGCGAATGTGTAAATTATGAATGTTCATGAAGTTGATGGTGCATTTTACCGCCAAAAAATAGACACATGTATGGTCAAGATGTTAGCGACTGTGTAAATTATGAATGTTCATGAAATTCAAGTTGCATATTANGAAAAAATGGACACGTGTATGCGCGAAAAAATGAACACATGTATGGTCAAGATCTAGGCGAGTGTGTAAATTAAGATTATGAAGTTGAGATTGCATTTTACCGTGACAAATACCGTAGGTTGCAAAACCCAAAAACATGTACGGCCCTAAGTAAGAGATAAGACTAGTACTATTCCATCAAGAGAGCTTCCTTTCTTCCTTCTTTGCTGGTCTCTGCTAGTTGATCCACTAGAGCTAGAGCTACTTGACCCACGCAGCCTGTTTTCTGAAACCCCTATCCCTCGCTATTAAGGAGTCCTTGCCCTATGCTCTATAGAGAAAGAAGGTCTCGAAGACGGGACTACGCGGGGGAGTTAAAGAGTTCCTCTTTCGAATAACCAAGGGAGAGATCCATTCGTTTACGCTTTTCTTACCAATAGAAGCTATTATCTGCCCCAATTGGCGAGTTACTAATCCTCCAACCGGACAACAAATTTTCTCCGAGCCACGACCTCTTACCTTTGGGTAGCGGTCTCTCGAGATCCTAAGTCACCGAACCGCGTACAGTTCGGTAGGCAGCATCGATCCATCGGGACTACGACATGAACTCTTACCTAAAGTCCATTAGGAGTGTCATTCGTCAAGAGCTGGGCCACATCCGTAAAGCCCACATTGTGAGCAGGCCCGTCTAGTCGGGCAGCATTGTTGGCCAAGGCCCGATAAACTTCTCGGGCATCATGAAGAATGGTAGGATTGTACTAAGGCGGTTTGGTCGGTTAGTTGTGTTGCAACACATGCATTTGCTTGTGGTGCTTTTGCTATTACCTGCTAAGTTTTTGCTAATATTGGGGAACTCTAGTTTATTCAGGTTCCACTGATTGATTAAACAA